TCGCTTTCGTAGAGTAGTCATTTTGACTAAAAATTAAAAAAAAATATCTCCCTAAAAAATACCCTAAAAAAATTTACCCCCTAAAAAATTCTCTTTTTTAAATTCTTCCCCCTAAATTTAGGGGGAAAACCCCCCAGGTTGGCATCACGTGCCCTGGTATAATAAACCAAAAAAAATAACTTGCATATTTTATATTTTCCTCAATGCCTATTATTTTATCTAATATTCAGCGCAAACCACGTTGGCACGACACTGGAGGACCGGGCGTTGAGCGACGTTCCGAGAATTCCGAAATTAAGTGGAAGATGGGCACAGGGCACAGTAAATGTGTGCCTCTATTGTTTTCTCTCTTATTATGATGCGAAAAACAAGGACAACGACAATATCGCTTAGCAAGAGATGAACACATACGATGGATTATACGTCACAAGCAAGGCGCTGTCCTCGCCGTGACGTTCTGTACCCATGGCACAGATTACCTAGACCAGATACGAATGTACGCAGCAGCATCTTTACCGGCTCCCTCACAAAGGCGATGCCAGTTTCGGCTTAAGGTGCGCGTTTATTGGACTATGATAATAATTTATTTATTGTGATTACGAAAAAACGTTAGTTGGACCATTGGAATAGTTAAGAAATAAAACTACGAAGAAAAATAACTTTTTTTTTATAAAGCAGTCAAAAATATGATGAAAAAAAATCAATAATATTTATGAATGGGACAAAATTTTAATTTTTCTTTTGGTTCTGTCTGACTTTTTCGAGGATTTCAAATCTCTGTTTGCATATTTAAGAGTATAAAAAATTCTGAGTCTTATAAATAATTTAATGGTGTACATTTTCGCAAATTGTTGGCAAGGATGACCAAATTCTATTTTGCTCATCTTAAAAAGGTATGCGTTGGAAATTCCAGGCTTACTTGACAAACTATCAAATAGAGATATAAATATTTTTTCTAATTTGAAAATATAGAAGATAAATTTTTCGCTGGGAGATTTTAAATTGCCAAACACCTTTTCTTCAGAGTCGTATGCTCTAAAATGCGTTAACAAGTTAGAATTGTTAAGTAAATTGCATTCTTCTGAGAAATTTACGCAAATTTCGCAAGAGTGGATGTGTAACGATTTTTGATTAAATAGTGGTCACATTTAGCTCCCTGTAGCCACATTCAGAAATCGTTATTGCCCCAACTAATTGTTTTGAAATATATTTAATTTTCATTAAGCGGAGAACTTGTTTTCCTAAGGGAAAAACGAATCCTTTCCAGTGTGTGCCCCACTGCCGCTAGTGCCCACGAGCCGCCACTGGTCCTGGCTGGTTATATGAAGATCGTTTGAATTGGCCTTCACAAAATTTCGTTGTAGAAGAACATCTTGTACAAGCAGAACGTAGGAATATAGTAACCTCTCTATTGGTTCAACCTAAGATTGATATGTCTTGGAGTTTTAAGTATTTCAGTAAATACAATAAAATTATAAGGTTGGTAGCATGGGTATTTCGCTTCATTTTTAATGTTAAACATCCGGAGAAACGTAACTCCGAATATCTTTTATCAACAAAAATCGAATATGCAGAATTGGCTTTAATCAAGTTTGTTCAACAAGAATGTTTTCGCAGTGTAGAAGATATTAGAAGTGTGGCCCCGATTCGAGATCAAGATGGTGTACTAAGAGTTAAGACAAAGATAACCGAGAGAGAAGATCTATTTGTATTTAGGTATCCCATTATTCTACCTGCAAAACATCCTTTAACGTGTCGACCACATACTTTGATTACTCTACGGTGTAAGAGAGAGGTCCGACTCGCCCAACATAGGGCGCGGCCATTTTGATTCCTATGCCACAGTTTATAGCTAAAAAATCAGATCGCTCACTCTGCGTTGTCTCAATGTTCCAGTTTAAACACTGCGCAACTCGAATAAAACAATATATGACAACCGCCTATAATAAAACAGCAGTCTTCTGCGTATCCTGAATTTGTATCCCTAGAGTGGATGTTATTTTGAAACTTTCAACTGGTCCGAGTGAGCTAACTGATTCTTAGCAATAAACTGTGACTCCAAAAATAATATTCACTGACACTGACAGCAGCAAGCAAAATATCAGGTGCGTTTTTAATCATCCGCTTGTGCTTCCGGAATTGTCGGTTTAGTCGTTTTAATCTGTCAGATTAAAACAAGAAAACCGACAATTCCGAAGCAGAAGCGGATTATTAAAACGCATCTATTAAAAATATTGCGCCAAGATGTAGGCAACACGTAATAAGGGATCAAAATGGCGGAGTTTTTTTATCTCTTTTTAAAAGGCACTCAGAAAGCTGCGCAGTGCGACCATTCTCCGTATAGTAAAAGAAAATCAAAGTATGTGCTGTCGACTCATATTTGACACACATGTTGGTCTATCTCATGCTGGCGTGCAAATTCTGCTGTCAAATGTGAGAGAGAAATTTTGGGTTATCGGAGGAAGGAAAACAGTAAGATCTGTAATTCGTAAATGTGTAGTTTGTCGGAGACACGAGTCAAGGAGATGTGAAGCAGTACCTGTTACCCTGTCCAGAAATAGAGTAAAAGATGTCGCAGTTTTTGAAGTGATAGGCATTGATCTTTTTGGGTATATGTTTTTAATAAATAGGGAAAAGGTCTGGGTTTGTATTTTTACATGTGCTATTTATAGGGCAATTCATTTGGAAATTGTATCTAGCCTTTCAACGGATAATTTTCTTTTAGCTTTTCGTCGTTTTATAGCTAGAAGAGGTCGATCTTCTATTGTATACTCGGATAATGGAAGAAATTTTGTAGGTGCAAAAAATACATTAGAGTCTTTAGATTGGGAACAAATAATGAACTCTTTAGGTATTAACCATATTTCATGGAAGCTCAATGTAGTCAGTGCACCCTGGTGGGGTGGCTGGTGGGAGCGACTGACAAGGGTTATTAAACAATTACTTCGTAGAGTATTAGGTAAAGCTTGTTTAACGTATGAATAATTTTATTCTGTACTGTGTGATTGTGAATCTGTGGTGAATTCTCGGCCCTTGACTTATTTGTCTGAGGACTCGTCTGATTTAATTCCGATAACGCCTTCATTCTTTTTGCAAGAGATAATCCAAACTGGTGCTCCAGACTTAGATAAAATAGATTCGACGTATCTTAGAAGAAGATATAGATATAGATTGAAATTGAAAGATGATTTAAAAAAAAACGATTCAGTCAGGAATATATCAGTCAATTAATTCTACGAAAGCGAAAACAACATTACAATAACGTAAAAGTAGGTGACTTAGTTTTTTTAGAAATTGAAGGTTCTAAATCTCAAATAAAAAAATTAATGAGCCTATATACTAGAGAAATAGAAGAGATGAAAATGGAGGTGAAAATAAAACAAAACTGATGATAATAAATGAAAGGCAAATAAAAAGAATATTGAAAGAACATAATAATAGAAAGAGTAAAAATCTTTGCATATTTGGGAAGTATACTGACAGAAGATGGGAAAATAAAAGCAGAGCGAGCATAAAGAATTAGGATATTAGAAAAATAACAAATCAAGAACCAATAAAGAAAAAAATAAAACTGGTATGGACACTTGTTAAGAATGAAGCCAGTCAGAATAACATAAACAGTTTCAGAATTAGGAAAATCAGCTAAGAAACCAAAAAGGAAGACCAAGAATAAAATGACCAAATTAAAGAAATAGGAGAAGAAAAACGATAGACAATACAGATGAGATGAAAGACAGAAAGATCTGAAAAAAATAGGTACAAGAGGATACTTTTCCGACGCCTGAAAAAGCAGAAAGAGCCGAATAGAAAACGAAGAAGAGGAAAAACAAATTTCATGTTATACCAGATCACGTGGTTGAAGAATCGTTACTTAAGGAGTGGAAAATGTCCCATTTAGTAATCAAGTTTTGTTTTGTTGTACTCTATTTAGTCGAGTTACGTCAAAGCATAACTTTTCCATGTTTCAAGATAACTTTTATGAGACGTAACAGCTCTTGTTACCAATAAAGCAAAATGTATACCGCCAACGCACGTTTGCAACCCACGCGTTGCTCCTGTTCCTTTCTAGTTCAGCGACGACAAACAGTTATTAACGAGTGATAACATCTCAACGTATATTTTAATTACAATTAGGCTCGCTCTGCCGTATGCAAAAAGCTCTTAGCGGAGACAACAAAAGGCAACGCCTCTAATTAAATTACACTGTGTCAAAGTTTGAAATTCTTGTTTTGTATTAAGTTTCGGAAAGGAACTTTCTATAACTGCAATGCGAAAATGGCGCACAAAACCCTCGCACCTGCCAAAATACCGCAAACTTACCGCTCGATTTTTGTATGTAATCACAAACTCCGCAAGGACTGATAATTGCAGTAAAATATAAAACAAAAGTTGCATTTCCCACACGTTAAAACCGTTGAAGCATCATTTTATAATGATCTTTCTAAGTTTTGGTTTCAGACTGGCACATCAAACCCAGTTGGATATATAAGAATGGATGGAGAAAAAATCAAAGCAGATATTTATATATCTTTTACTGATACACTAATTTACATTGACAATATTTATTTGAACAAAACGATATCTTATCTAGAACTGAACTCAAACGCATTTATACACATATGTGGCACTCCAGACTTGCTCTAGAATATTCCAGACGTCTTTCGAATAAAAATCGATATTTGGGTATCGGCACCTCCAAGAGAATTGTTATTTCTAAAAGATTCGCTAACATTCTTTCGGCGGATCCACCATATTCTAGAAGCACGATTACTTCGACTGTGGCGTATTATATTGGTTTCGGAAGTTGACTTATTTTATCGAAATAAGGCAGAGACATTATTATTATCAACTATCTTCTTTTGGCCCGTGGTCCACATTCATTTGTTCTATTCAGTCCTCTATAAAAAAAAGGTTCAACAAACTGGTTTACTGTATTGTGAATGCTGTCCAGCCATTTTTGTACTATATTTTTTGCATTAACATTGACTTTTCTATTTCAGATTCTAACAACAACAGGGTAGTAATGACAGAATCATTGTAAACTTAGAGCTGGAGCACAAAAATGATTGGCAACGGAGGTACTACGTCTCCTGCCAACTCGGTGACAGATACGAGCCATGGGGCATCGACGTCAAGCTCCACATCAGCACAGGGCGGGCACTGCAAGGGGCATCGCAGGCAAGAGTCCATGTATACCATGACTGGTCTCTATTCTGAAGCCATCCCAGAACAAACAGAAATCGCCGAGACGAAGTGTTCGACGAATTTCTGCCACGACACGGTTATTAAATGCCACAGTAGAAACCCTTCGGCTAGTTTTGATAGAGATAAAGCTGCACATACTGCGACTTACACTGAAACACCTGTGATATTAAAAGATACAAAGGATTGCGGAATTTTTCAATGCCGCCCTACGTTTATACAAAAGTATGCTGGGATTAGGGTAAGTTAAAAACTCGAATTCGAATTACATTAGAAAAATTGGAATTTCGTATTTTTTTCCTTAGAATGAAATTCCATTATTATTTAAGATCACTCCCTTTATAAGCATTACAAAATTTTCGTTCAAAAGGGATCAATTAGTACTAATAAATATTTGTTCTTTTTTTTCTCATATCCTTCGTACGTTTTCTCTCCCTGGAGCCATTTAATTTTTTTCTATTCCTGGCTAGTGTCTATAAGTCTATCAAAGTTTTTTCTTATTAATTCCGATCTCTTTAATCAGATCCATCCATTTCTTCCTATGATTTCCTTATTGCCTTCTTCTTGATTTATCTATTTCCATTAATTTTCTCGCTAGTCTGTCTGGTTTCATTCTTACTAGTTGACCATACCAGTTTATTTGTTTTATTTGATCTTTTTCATTATTGATTCCGCATCTATTCTTTAATATCCCAATTAACACAGTTAGTAATAAATTCTTTTGGTGTCGGTTTTGCTACGAAGCCTTAGTTTCTGTGGTACACCCTGGTTTTAATATTGCTACTTTATTGGGTAAGGCTTCTTTATACGGTACTTAAAAAGTAACTGTTATCACACCGAAAACATTTATTGAAACTGTAAACACCGAAAGCCAAAATGTAATATTTCAATATCACTTTATTGTTGCTCTATAGTGGCAAAAACTGTATAGTACCAGTGAATCAGTTACTGTCACCCACCAGTGCCACTAATATGCCTAAATAAAGTAACTGGGTACATAGATAGACAAAAAGGTCCAAGAATATATTCACAGTAACATTTGGGTAGTTACTGTAACTGGGCAGTATCATTTTATTGTTACTTCCAGTGTATCAGTTACTGCTTAGAATTGCCTTTGATTTATATTAATAAGCTTTTCTCGTATCTCCTAATATAATGGAGATTTAGAACTTTGTCAGAGGTTTGAGACACCCTCTATGTGTTATACCTAAATATCTGTAAACCTTTTAAAGCAGTTTTAAGGCGTTTGTTGACCCCCTAACCCGTTAACTGCTGCCTAACTTTCACTACATATAACAAAATGTGCCTCATTTTAATTATCGATTTGTATACGTTCGCCCTAAACCGTAAATCTTTTCTACTACCCTAAGTTTCATTAATACTGCCGTCAATTACATTTTTTAATAATTAATCACAAGGACGAAGGCTCTGACAAAAAGGACGATTACATTAGATCAAAAATAATTATTCGTCCTTCTATAAATAGCGTCGGTGGTAAATGAAAAATCTTTATTTATCCAGGAGCGTCTTCTTTTCTATTAGTATGTACAAAATTTCCGATTATCGGTGCTCCTTAGTTCTAAACTACTCTGGGATCCTGTGGATGCTAAGCGGATTCTCCCACTCAACTGTTTTCAGCGGACTGCTGTGTTGATGTTTAGACTCGCGGTTTTATGTATTTTATTCTGTCTGAGGCATGTTTCTTGATAGACCGTATACTGATCCCTTTTTTATTTAATAAACGTTATATTGCACCTGATCTAAATAGATCTATCAACAATTTTATCTTAGAGAAATCGGGTTGAGATAGCAAACCAAAGAAAATTTAAAAAAATTAAAAAAGTCTGCTCTGGGCGGGGCTCCTAACCGCGATCTCTGCATATCCGTTCCAACGTCCTAACCCCTAGACCACCAGAGCTTGAGTATCTGGTGTCCTGGTTATTAAATTGAGTATTTAGATTCGATCCCAACTCAGTTTATCAGAATCTTTATCAATTCTTCAACTCTTCCATGGTCACCTGTGGCATCGTCGAAGGTACATCACATCAAGTGTATTAAAACCCGATTTTTTTAGCATTTGTTTCGGGAAAATTTTCACAGTAAACCTCCAGTTTATTTATAATTCTATACTAACCAAAATAAACTAAAAGCTTAAAACTCAGGTACTGTTTTTTTGGTTTATTTTTTCTTTAATGTTCAAATTTACACTATTTCACTATGCTTTGCTTTTTAGACACTTTCACTATTAATTCACACAAAATTTTAAGGTTTTGTCCGATTCAGTCTTCTTTTTATTTCATGATGGTCGAGGATCTGAAGCATTTGATGTTCACATTTGTATGAAGCCTAGCTTGGCATATCTTTGGATTTAATGATCTCTATCTTGAGATGTCTATGTAAATCTATATAATAAAAATTTTCAATAATTAAGTCAAATAGAACAATTCGTGAGTATCAACTAACAGCTTGATTTCACTATAGCACTCAAGGCGACCCATCATTTCGTTCTACCCGGAAGAGTGCCACTCTTGACTGCCAATGTTCTTTACATTATATTACAATGAGTAATCACACAAAATTTGTTTACCTGCTAACATATATATAGAAGGACACATCCACAATATTTTGGAGTATTTATTTTGAAATCTCGAAATGTTATCTACATTAGTTGGTGTAGCACAACCCCAAAACTGTTCACCATAAGTCCATACAGGTTTTAAGACTTGCTTATAAATGAGCAATTTATTGTGTACTGATAATTTTGATATGTCAATTAATCAGTATATTTCACAACTCTTTTTTTTTTTTCCTAGATACTTGGTCGTATTTTCTTTTAGTACCTGTGATCCGTTTATCGTGATATGTATGTTATTTTGGTTATTTTTATTTGTGAAATTTATATTTAAATATTTTAGTTCATTTAATTTTATTCTTCACTGTTTAGTCCATCTGCTGAATTTATTAGAGCCTTATTGTAGCTTTTTAATGGCTTCATCTGCATTTCCTCCAAAAATAGCAGTGCGATCAGAAAACGTAAAATAATCATTTTTGGTGTATCATAGGTAAACGCTCACTTATGGTACTTCTGTTTTAGTTTGTTTTAACCCCTCCTCTTCTTATTTTACTCTGTAAAATTTACTTGTTACGTACGATTCCAGAAATTGTACATACTACTTCGAGAGCATTTGTCCCAATTCAATTATCTCCAGAATGAATCTGTTTTCTTTAATGATTAATTATTTCCGTTAAACGTTAGTAAAAACAGAAAAATATATCTTCCATTCAATATTTTTAACGATATCTCTGTTTTTAAAAAGAAAAATTGTTAATTTAAACAGACAACGTATTATTATAAAAATATTACTGAACATTAAATATACATTTCATTGATTAATACTTCTCGGGCAAGCAAAAAGTATATTTATTATCTTCATCAAACAATTATTAAGAAATAGGGCAAACATCAATTTAAAACTGTTATTAAACATTTCATTATCATTCTATCGCATCTGTATTACCATAATCAATCTTCTAATTGAAAATGTATGAGGTTTGAAATATTTAAAGAATATTTGATTCTGAAGTAAGCAGGACAAGTGGCGGAGCCACCACGAGGGGAGCGGGAGTTTAGGGGTTATTAAAATATAAAAACTGAATTCTACAATTATTTTATTTCGTAATTTTTTACTGAGCGTAATTTTATTATTTATGTAATATTTTTTGTTTTTATTCAATTTTAAATTTTAAGTTGAACAGTTTTAGCAAACCGCGTTTAATTTGTAATAACAAAAACAGAAGTATTAGTTATTTTAAAGAAAAAAAGATTTAAATGAGGTGCTTACATTGGGATCCTCCCACTTCTTAATAATAAACTAACTTTTGGTTGAATTCCCACTTTGCTGAAACTGTCTAACTTGTTTTTAAAACTTTAAAGATATGTATTTTAAAAATTATCATCTTTAGAGTAATAGTGTATTTAAATTTTACATAAAAAATATAGGTCTCTAATTAAAAAAAAAATAGATGACGTAATAAAAAGAAAACAATTTAAATTTGAAGTGCCACTCCGTGTTTTACCTAAACGTTGCCTACCGTAGATAATTTGAGGTTTCCAACCTAACTACTCACACTGTATAATGAAATTATTATTACTGGAATTCTACAAAACGTCAGGTGTGCTTTTTGAAAATCTGAAGTGGTTTGAAAGAATTGTTTTTAAAGGAGAATACTTTGAAAAATATAAAAAATTTGCGTCAAATAAAGATACGAGATACCATTCTCTTTAGTGGCGTAAACAGCTCAGTCTGCCTTGCAATGATAAATTTCTGACTATGTCACTAGTAATGACATTTAAAATGTTTTTTTTTTTTTCAGTTCTTCGTTCTACTCTTGTCATTCCTTGTTACCTTGCAACAAGCGCTAAGTTCGGGATACATAAATTCTGTGATAACAACAATCGAAAAACGCTTCGAAATACCATCATCTCTCTCAGGCGTGGTGGCATCCTCTTATGAAATAGGCAATGTAATAACAGTAATATTTGTTAGTTACTTGGGCAGCAGACGACACATCCCAGTGTGGATAGGAGTCGGTGCCGTCATTATGGGAATCGGATCGTTAATATTCATGGTGCCACATTTCATCGCAGAAGAAAACAGCATCACCGCGGTGAATACCACCGAAGATAATATGTGCAGGATCATCTCTGTGCACGAGCAGGACATGGGCCTGGGGAGACTGTCATCGGGGTTATCATCACCACCGCTGGCTCCGAATAATATCAGAGAAGATAATTGCATTCAGGGTACTCCTTCAACCACAGGACCAGTATTGCTGTTTGTTCTTGCACAATTACTATTAGGTTGCGGAGGATCTCCTCTGTTTACACTTGGTACCACGTACATAGATGATCACGTTAGGCCGGAAAGTTCATCCATTTATATAGGTAAGATTTTTTTTTTAAAAATAAGTTAAAGAGTAGAGTTTGTAGCTAAAAAACATTAACTTTTTCGGGGAAAACAATTTAGACTCATAATCAAGGTCATGTGGGTATTCTTAGGACCTTATTGTTTAAATAATAAATAGAGGTAAACACTTTTGTCACCACTGTAGTAACCATAGGTCGAGATCTGTCACCAATGTAACAACTGCTAGGTCTCTAACTAGTCTTTAACTAATTTAGATTGCTATCACCAATGTACTCTTAAAGGATGAGACTGTACTGTTACCAGCCTTAGGGTCTTGGAGTCCTGTAGGCACATTCACTCAGATGTGGCAGAAAAAATGAAAACAAAATAATGTCTTAATAGCATTGTTGAGCGGTTCTGTAACTGGCGACAGACTGATAGTTCTTAGAGGTGGGTAAGAATGAGGAAGTTTCGGTAGTGAAACAAGATCTACGTAGGACAGGAGTAAATAATTGACAAGAAAATGTAAAGGATAGAAAAGATAGAGGGACATTGCAATGAGTATTACCTAAAATAATGGGATTGAGCTACCGAAAACAGGGATCTAGAGAGCAAACAGCGGCTTATTCCCATTAGGAACGTTTTTTTCACTTATATTAGTTAAATCATTTATTACTTTTGGAATTTTTGTGGATTCTTTAGATTTCACTAATATTAATGTTAAATATTACATTTACGATAGTGAATAGCCATGTTACTAGTAGAGCTGTCCGAGTGTGTACGTCTTTGCCAATGATCTTAAGATTTGTGCAGCTAGCAAAGAATACCTTAGGAAGAATATTATATGGTTAGAGCAACTGAAGAAACAAAAAATGAAAGTAAATATATCGACAACGAATATATTGAAATACCTAGAACTGGTAGTTAAAATGTCAAGAGATTAGATTCGAAATTTGCATTTTTTGGTGCCGTGACAAGGTCACCCTTTTTATACATTTACAAGTTTAAAAATGTATAATGGGCTATAACAGCGCATCGGAATTTTCAATCTTATGTTCGATGAAAAACAATTAATAATGGTTTTTATTTTTTATCCTTTTAATTAGGCAATTAGAAGAAAATTGGGAATGAAAAACTATTTTTGATGAAATTTCCCACCTAAATTTACAACTACACACTGCTTAAACGGTGCCAAATATTTTTAAATAATTTATCTTTTCTTCTCGTAATGCGTAAATTACTTCAGTGTTTTGTATTTTTGTTCTAACCTATGGTTCTAACTGTAAAGTCTTATTTGACGTTTGTGGACATATTTAAACTAGCTGACTATGCCTTCACAAATCCAGGATTCATGTTAAATACTTACAAACGATTCAGAAATAGAAATATAATACATAATTTTATGAATTAATTTTAGTTTCAAATTGACATATATATGAAGTTCCTGACATTTGGTTTATTATAATGATGTTGCAATTATATTAAATGCGCGGGGTATCGCCTAAATGCAATTAAGCGGTTTAGATTTGCAACCAATTTTACTGTCTGTCGAAGTAAAAAAAACTTGGAATTTTTTTTATAGGTATTATTATTTATTTAAAATACACATCGACAACTACAAAAATTTTAAAATACACTACCAGTAAGTTTTAATCGACGCTATCTTTTTATTATCTTAATGGATTGTCCAGAATTGTTAAAAAAGGAACAGACACCTAATTATTTTTCTATTTCACACTTCCTACAATACACACAGAGATAGCAACAAAATTTAAATTTTCTGAATTTATTGGTACACGTCACGGGACAGAAGGGACATCTCTGTAACGTGTGGAGGGTGGGTTACCCCCACGGCACTTCGGCCTCATTAGGCCCATTGTTCATCCTCCTAAGATGATAGGCACCTCCTAGCTCGTGAGCCAGCCTACAGATTTAATGTAGTTGACAACGTCGCCAAGAGGTGCTTCTCTTATATCGGCCGGTGTTAGTCGATACACAAATCTTCTAATAAATGAGAGCGTCGGGCCATCGTAAAGTATATATGCTTGATGGTCTCATCTTCTTATTCGCACCCTCTGCAGAGTGCGGATTCTAACAGTCCCATGATATGGAGATGTTGTCGTACTTTGCAATGACCAGTCAGAATGCCTGTGACTAGGCGCAGATTCTGTCTAGTCAGTCAAGTATTTGTTTGCTGCAGTGTTGTCAGGATAACTCAAGAGCTCCCTGGCAACTCTGCAGTTTCTTGTTTCATCCCATCTTTCCTTGAATTTCATAAGGGAATGTTCTTTGATTAGGTCTGTCACTACCGATTTTGTCAGGCCTATAGAATGGCCAAATCCAAAAAGTATTTGGTTGGCTGCTTTCTTGGCTAGTGAATCAGCAAGACGGTTACCTTTCGATGTGGCGTGACGTTTGATCCATCTTAAGGTGACCACATTGTTTATGAATACTTCGGCCAAAGCTTCGTGACATTCTAGTACTAACCCAGAATAAATTCGTGGTCTGTTCAGGGTGAGTAGTGCTTGTCTGCTATCTGTATAGATGAGTATGTTCCTTCCAGTGAAAGGATGGAACACAAAGGACATAAAATTTTCAACTTTAACAATTATTTCTTCAGCCTCCAGTGATACCTGAACGGCAAAATTTTGCTTAATTTGTGTAATAAATTTTAAAATGGAGTAATAAAAAAATTTGACTGTTATTCATAAAAAAATATCTTGAAGCAAATGTTTATATCAGTAGATTTGATTTGAATAGAAGGAAAGTTAATTTAAAATTACTTTTTAGGTTGTATGTACAGCATGGCGGCATTTGGTCCAGTCTTAGGATTCCTGTTAGGTGCTTACCTCCTTTCTTTTCACATGGATTCATTTACACACATCATATCAATAGGTAAACAATTCTAAAACTAACCAGATACATGTTTCAAATAACGCATTGTTTTTTTTTTTTTTTAGATCCAGGTGACAGCAGGTGGGTGGGCATGTGGTGGGGTGGTTTCCTACTATGCGGACTTTTGCTTGTAATAGTTGCAATTCCCTTTTTTTCATTCCCAAAAGTTCTTACACATGAAAAAGAAAAAATTAGACTTATGGAAAAGGCTGCTGCGGCTACGGGTGCAGGCACCAGTACTGGCACATCGAATTCCGCTAACAAAAATGCCAATCCTGCGACTAAAAATGACACGGGTTATGGCAAAGACGTCAAAGGTAATCACTATTCATATATATAATTTTTGCCTTCAACAATATGAAGAACATGTATTCAACAAAAAACTTCTGTTTTAGATATTCCCAAGTCTATGTGGCGTCTTGCTAGTAACCCAGTATACATTGTCACGTGTTTGGGTGCTTGTATGGAACTGGTAATAGTATCTGGTTTTGTTGTATTTTTACCGAAATATTTAGAAACGCAGTTCAGTTTAGGAAAGAGCCAAGCCAGTGTTTTTACCGGTAATAATTCAAAATAATCAAACCACTACCTAGAATTAACTATTTCGTTTTATAGGATCTATTGCGATTCCCGGTGCCTGCATAGGGATCTTCATGGGTGGTGTGATTCTCAAAAAGATGGAACTCAGGCCAAAGGGAGCAGTGCAATTTGTACTAATTTCAAACGCTATATGCCTTCTGTGCTATGGACTGCTGTTCTTCTTAGGATGTGATAATCTCAAGATGGCTGGTACTACAATCCCGTACTTCAACAGTACGCAACCGTTTCAAGTCAATTTAACTTCATCTTGTAACTTCGGTTGCGAGTGTAGTATCACCGATGTAGAACCAGTTTGTGGGAACAATGGATTGACGTATTTTAGCCCATGCCACGCTGGTTGTACTTCAATATTAAGTACAAACTATACCAATTGTGCCTGTAAGTATCCCAAACACCCAACTTTTTTCTAAAATCACACCACGAACATCTGACAATCTTTTTACTCGCTTTTTTTTTTAGGTATACATGGAAACATGACAATTAAAGATGGTTTAACGTCGTCCATAAGTTTCGCCTCGCAACTAGAAAGCGAATATGCTGAAGTTACAGTCGTGCCTGTTGCAACTGCAGGTCCATGCAATTCTTCTTGTCATACCATATACCCTTTTTTGATATTATTATTTTTTATGACGTTTATCGTGGCAGTCACCCAAATGCCTCTACTGATGATAGTATTAAGGTAAACGTACATTTTCTACAATCTCTAGATGTATTCATATTTATTTACCACCTTTGGCGTCTTTCATGCACCACAATCCTCTTAATCCCTTATATGTAATAGTAAATAATTTAACCTAAACCAGATTCCTTCATTTACGCCTTATTCTATAACATCTCCTCCTTATCATGTAATATCTTCAATTATTATCTACCGTCTTTACATAACCAATTGTATATTTTTGATATATCTAGTTTTGTCCGTCTCATAATTTGACACGTATTCTACAGCATCTCCTACTTATCTTCTAGCATCTCCTACTTATCATGTAGCGTTTTCTATATATCATGTAGCATTTCCTGTTTATCATGTAGATCTTTTAATTATTATGTAGCATCTATACATAACCCATTGAATATTTTTGATATTCCTAGTATTCGTTCCTCTCATATTCAATCTAATTAACTTGTAACGAATTCTATTTATTCTTTAAGATCTCCTACTTATTCTGTAGCATCTCTTATTTATTATCTTCTAATTATTTTGTAGTCTTTATATAACTCATTGAATATTTTGATATTCCTGTCTCACATTTAATCTAGCTAACTAATAACTTATTCTGCAACATCTGCTACTTATCCTAAGACACCTCCTATTTATCCTATATAACACCTCCTATTTATCATGTGCATCTTTTAATTATTATGTAGCGTCTGTTTCGTATTATTTTACTAACAATTTCAGGTCAGTGAACGAAGAGGAACGATCATTCGCATTGGGCATGCAATTTGTGATATTCAGATTATTTGGGTACATCCCGGCTCCAATCTTGTTTGGAAACTTGATAGACTCGACCTGTCTGTTATGGAAAAGCACGTGCGGCGAAAAAGGTGGACGCTGTTTACTTTACGACATAGAACAATTTAGATATAGATACGTAGGTTTATGTGCTGGGATAAAAACCTTAGCGTTAGGAATATTTTTAGTAGATTGGTGGCTTGTTAGGCATCGCAAGCAACTCGATGAAGACAGAGTCATTACTGCTAATGAAATTGTTGGATCAATTATTAGCTTAGATAAATGTAAGTAGAATGTCACCCGCCTTTTCTAATACTGTGTACGTTGCTTTGTCTCCAAAATGATGAGACAGTATTTGCATTACTCCAAATTATTTTCTATTTCTATTTAAGTATTTGAAGAGAGACACGAAAGCGGTCGTCACACAAGGAACCCTAGTTCCGTTAGTGCCTATGATATTCCTAGATCTCCGAAGCCTATTCTAGATAGCCGACAAGATTCTAAAGACCACGAATGGGAGGAGGCTAATCATCACTCTCCTTTGGAACACAAGGAAGTTGCATTACCAGAACAGGATCCGTCTAGTGATAATGGTAGCTTGAAAAGGAGACACCCCTAGAGCTAACTTAGCACCTATTAAATTTTTATCCCAAACAAAAGTTAGACAAGCCGCTTTTTTTGTTTTTGTTATTAAGGTGTTTATAATCCAGGCATTAAATGATACAATTTTGTATAAAGAAATCGTAATATACGAGAAGAGTTGACATCATTAATAAAAAAAAGGGGATTGGACCAATCGGTGATCCATGAGACTTTTTTACCACTAAGCTGCTACATTTCTTTACGTAAAAGTGTATTTAGATATTTTACGCCTTTCATAACAAAAAATATACAGCTCTACAATCGCATAAAAATCGTAATAGTGAAATATGAGTGCGGAAACAACATGCTTGTAGGAGACTATTTAGTACAAAGCAATCTCACAAATGCTTGTCTAACTTTTGTCTTAACGTACTGCCTAAGATTTTTATCTTAGAAAACCGTACTGGTCCGATGAACATGTTTAAATAAATTTTTGGTACAAAGGGGCCAGGCAGTATTTTGTAGTTGTCGATTTTCTCAATAATAGTATATTTTGATATACAGATAGTTTCCAAGAATAATGCTTTACTGATATTAAAGTATATATTCAGTCACAATAAAAATATATCAATATTTGTTAAAATTGAACGATGGGGTGGTAAAGTTTTTGAAAATCAAAATTTTTAGTGGAAAATCAGGATGTCGGTGTTTTATTGAGTTGTTGATTTGGGATGGAATATTGAATGTTTTACACTATTGATCAAAATTTCAGGAAATTTCATGGAAGCCCATTTCTCCATGAGCTGACTGGTCCAATTTACTTTAATTGAAAATATTTATGTTCTTGTGAAACAATTTTTATTGTATATTTAAAATTCAGAACAAAAAGTATGCTAACCAGCTAAATATTAAAAAAGTATTATTTTTTCAAATAATTTTATATTTATTTAGATATTTTTGGAGGGCCAGTGCGAAAGTCATTTGGCTTAACGCAATTTCATTTTGATCACTCATGCAGTGGTCAAAATCCCTTTTTAAGTTAAATGCACTATAGACTATGTTTTAACTTAATTTTTGTTTGTTACTTATAATTTCGAAGTGATATTTACGATAGGACACTATTCTTTTATTAATTTTATTAATTGCGTTTTAATAGATTTTGAACTTATTGAATCTACTACCTAGTTCTTGCAGCAAATCTCTAAAGATTTTATTCTTATAGACTAGGCTAAAAAAATTACAAATAGTCCGTGAAATCTTCATAGAAGATTTCGCATAGGGCGTTCGGTTGTCAAGGATGTTTTAAATTATTTTTACAATTATTATTAGCCATATTTTAATTTATTTTGTAGTATGTGAGGATCAACTCAAAAAATTCACACATGTATTTGAGTCTATACAAAGTAGCTATATATGTCTCTCAATAGAGACACCTCTGAAACAATTATTATATTTAGATTTATTTTAAGGTAACTCCATAGGCTCAGTTTAAGGCATCTTAAGACAACCTTACCTCAAAATGTTTATCAAGCGAACGATACAAGGTACCTACTTTGATACTTTTAACTTAAAAATAATTTAGGTCAAAGGGATTGGCACTATGTCAATTCATAAGCTTTAATAACATAGATCATATTTTTCAAAAACTTTCTTATACATATCAATTAATAACTACGATCAACTAAAACTATTTGAGATTATCTATTTACTAAGATTTTATAATACTCCAATGGATCGATTTTTTAAATAATTTCCCACATTAAAGTAAAGATATGAGATTTAGAACATATTAACATGTAGATTATGAGCTAGCAGAAAGTATCATCTGGGAGGATTTATTTTAAAACCCCTGCAAACGAGACGTCAGACGACTCAAAGTTGTAATTTTGTTGAAATTTACAATACACATATTTGATTACACAAATTAGTTGACATGGCTCGTTATCTCAGTTTGTTATCCATTGAACAAGCAATTTTGCATTTCGCAACGCGGTTCGATTCAAGATAAATGTAATCATTTTTTAATTTTGTAATAAATATTAAAATTAAAAATACGTACTAATACATTTTATTTATCGCAATAATAATAATATAATTATTATTATTAGGCTAAATAAAATTTATTTAGAATAAATAATAATAGTACGTAATTTTTTAAAATTTCATAGTTTTTCCATAATAAAAAAAAAGAAAAAGATTCCGCGTGGCGAAATGCAAATTTGACTGCTTGTTCAATGCATAGCAAACTGATCAAATATGTATATTTTTAATTTTTTTAACCGATACTTTTTAAAACTTTGAGTTGTCTGACGTCTCGTTTGCAGGGGTTTTGAACTAAATCCTTGCAGATGGTCCCGCCTAGATTTCACAAAATTCCAGCCGAACGTACGATCGTACCACTTACGATAATAGAATATGTTATAGAAAAAAAAAGAATTCAATTTTTTATTAAGAAATTTAATAAATCTACCAGATAGGTAAGTGGTTTACTAAATTAATTTTATCGCTTGATAAAAAAACTCGAATGTACAGTGTGATCTAAAAATTTCGCACGATATAGTAATGTTTTATTATTAATTTTTGTTTATAAAATTTGGTGTTTCTGCTAGACAAAAAAAAAATGATTCATGCCGCGGTTTTTTGAACTGTGTTATAGCATAATGTATGTATCTTTAAGCCACAATAATGTTTCTATTATTTTTTAACAAATTTACTCAAAATAAAAATACAGATTAAAAAAGATAATTACAATTTCTTTAACTAAAACTAATAGAAAATTAAATTTAATTTTTTAATAGTTACTTATATAATAATGCAACTCTCCTTATAATTTACCCCCTTGCGAGTGAAGGGAAGACTTACAGATGTTTGATGGTACCATTTGGCTTACAGATGAGAAAAACCTGGAAAATCTCAACCACCATCATCAAATATAAATATAAATACCAGTTCAAAGTATAATAACTGGAACAAAACACATTCAAATATGATTATTAAACAAATTTGACATTTAAAGTGTTAATAGAGACATGACATAATTTCAGGAGAGTCAATTTTGATAGAATTTTATATAGATAATGGAATTTCTATTATTTCACTATAATTATATTCACCCAAACTTCAATCTAATCTATAATTAATAAACCACTCTTAAAAATGTATTTTATGTTTTAAGATCGTCACCATATTTTATGTAATATGGATTCTAAATTAAAGTTGGGTACTCCAGTATTAAGCGAATTATGAGCAATAAAGAATTTTATGAAAAATTATAGGAAAATCTTTAGTATTTTCGTGCATTTTTAATTTTAATAAAAACTAACCATATAATTTAATAATAAAAAATATGGTGCGTAGTTTTTGTAACAAATTGTATAATCTTCATACTAGAGCTTTATTTCACACGTTTGAACGCCTTTTTATCACCTTAAACTGCTATTTTGAAATGTTCTTAGCATTTTAAGCAATTTCTGTGAAGCTAATTTATGTATAACTAAATCGATCAAAATATATTTCAAACACTATTTCCTAATAATCCCTTTGGTCTAAAAATAAAAAAAAAACTTTTAGTCTAAATTCTAAATATCTGCCGACAACAATGAAACTGTTCGCATTACCTAACCGAATTTATTATTACCTACCTAGATTTTAACGTTATACAGGGTGAATCCTAAGTTATTTTTTTAAATGTGTATGTATGTATGAAGTCATTAAAATAAACATCTTTTTTTAATATTTTTTTCAAAACATTCAAAAATAAGAAACTTACATTAATTTATTCCAAAATGTATCTAATACGGTTCTGTCTATAATGAAAAATGATGTGTAGAACTTTCGTTAAAAAGTGTTAATCACATTCATGCCGTTGTGAGAACCATTCACAAAAATGAACTTGGCGGGGAAAATCTTTAAATTGTACTCCTTGAACACGTTGAACGTAAAAGAGATACGACTGATTTTCCCACAATGTTCTCCACACTTTTCTTTGACCTACTACTACTTGATCTGCAATCAACCGCGTAGTTGTCGTTGGATCTTTCTGCTAAACGCACTTCACTTTTAATTTACCATCACTGATTCAGATAAGCACGCTACTGAAATCACACTCGACTGAATTACAATAACCGGTACACAATCAAGCGTTATTCATAAGAAAAACAAAAAAGATAAAAATATAAACAGACATATTAGTTAGCGTCCAGGCCCGAATTTAGATTTTTAATTTTGTATCTTTCTTATTTTTGAGTTTTAAAAAAAAAATAACAATTTTATACACAGTTAAAAAAGGATTAACTTAGGATTTACTCTGTAGTGTTTTTATTACACAACACATTGTTGATATACTCATTTTTATTTCAATTTAGCTAGTTTTTAATATATTTAGGTTTTTCTTTTTATTTGAAAGACTGGAATAGTGGAGTTGGTGGACTAATAGTGTTTACTTTTTGGTTAAAACACAACATTATTGACATGAACATTAATGTTATTAGATTATCTTCAACCCTTTGACATAGATCCCAACAGTTGGTTGAAAAATTTTGTAATCGTATTCAGAGGGTTTATGAATGGTTTATGATATTTATAAATTACACTAAAAAATTAAACTAACTAGTAAGATACAATATTTCAAATCAGCATGACTTTTATTATTTTGGTTAATAATAATCTGAACTGGAGATGAGTCTTAACATTTTTCGAAGGAAGCTTTCATTCTAATTGAAAGGACACCTTCATATCAATTATTATTTTGTGTTTTTATTGAAAAGTTAACAATTAAATAAATTTTGGTGCCGATCTTCACTAGTATTTTTATCACATTTTCAATATTTTGTATTTTAGGTAGACCTTATAGGTTGTTTTAGAAATGTTAAGCATAAACCCATCCTGCCAATCTGTTTATTATTTTAGAGCACCTGTCCACTTTTAATTAAATAATAATTAAATTGGAACTACCAGTCTAGGCTGCGCATACAGAGTGTTACTCTAATAAAAAAAAATGAAATTTTTTAAACGTTATTACACTTTGAAAATTGCAATTATTGGAACACCTTGTATGCGTCAAAAAAGATTAATATATTCATCTGGCGGCCTAACATTGAATAACACCTTTAAAATTTTAAAATAATGTTAAATGATATAAATACAAAAGCGGAACAAACTATAGGGACCTCAAGTGAAAAGTAATTCTAAATACCATTGATGTTAACGCACTAATCCATGTAAATACCATTTAATGTCACAATCGAACAAGTGAAGTTATTTATAAAAAATGTAAACACATTGGCACTAGCCACAAGATCCAGGAATAAAAAGAACAAAATTAAAATTCTACTACCTCAAAAATTTATATAATATGATAAACTTCACTTGTGAATTGTTGTTGTTCCGACTTTGGAAAAGTAGATACGTGTAGTTTCCCTTCTTGTATAAGCCAAGCAATTGTCACCGACGTATTAAGAATGAAAGAAAAACATCGACCCAAGAGTAATACCTTGTGGCACACAGTCTTTTACTGGAAATGATTCAATTGTATTTTAGTTAGTTTCCGTGTTTTTAAGGGCGTGATATAGTGTCAAATACCGTGACCAGATGCCTATCAACAACTTCTATTAAGAAGAAAAACATTTCCAGGGTCGAAATATCAACTATAAATGTATGTGTGTGTCTTCTGTTTAGCAAGTAGACAGTAGGCCCCGCCAAAAACAACAAAATATTTAAAAATAAGTGGATGTTCTTGGTGTTGATTATTCTTGTTTAATCTGCAATTGTATGTGTTTTGCTTTTCCAATTTATTGTCTGTAATATTCAAACCTTTGTTCCTAACAAAATATGATCTTCACATTTTGTATTAATTTTTATTAAATTTTTTTCTGAATACCAGCCTTTCATTTCATCCTTCCGCAAAAGAATCGCAAGAGCCTCTACTAAGGCGGGTGATTAATCCTGCGTACAGAGGATGCTATAGGGGCTGGGGGTCAATATCTGCATCTGACAAACCCAAATGAACCGATTTAGTTAAAAATTGGTATAAACAGTAAATAGGTTATAATCTTTTAATCTAAAATATTTTGACAGTTCTGACATTTCTACTTTCTTATTTTCAATGGGATACCGCTATTTTTATTCCGCCACTTTGTATGATAGCTAAAATTGGTAATTTATGAAAATATAATATTTTAATATTCTTTTTTATCAAAAACCGTTCAAAATGAGTACAAAGATCTTTAGGTATTTTTGGCCATAGAATATGGTGAAATAATGTATCCATTAAAAAAAAATATGTTTTGTCAAATCAAACTTTAAACATGATTTTTTCTCACCCCTTATAAAAAAGATCTTTTAATGTCATGTACTAGTTAATTACTATCTATTTCATCATAATTCAATTAAAAAACTTTCAAATTTTAAATAACTTTAGCCACATAAATATTATTTTAATACTCATGATCTTTTTTCTAAAAATATGTATACACACATATTATACAAAGTGATCCAAAAATTACATCTTTTATCAGAATCCGGAATAAAAATAGGTGTGTCCCATTTAAAATAGGAATGTTGACATCTACTACCGGTATAAGAGGATTACTAAAAATAATAATGTTGTAAATATTTGATGAATGGTACAAAATTGCAACTTTTGTCGAAGGTAACCTTTTTATATAAATAGGGTGTTAGTTGAAGTTGAAAGTACACATTAATGTTGTTCGTATATAAGTACATGTCTAAATAAATTAGTCATGACATATATAAATTAGTATATAGTATTTGAGTATATACTATAAATTAATTTATAAAATAAATTAACGTGTAAATGTAAATATAAATTAAAATATATAATAAACTGTTTAAAATAACAAAACGTTACATTGGTATCGGAAGAGGGATTCTGTAAATAAATAGTAAGTAAAAATGGCTAAAAAATTGTGTTATTTAAAAATGACCGAGTAACGTCGGGATATAGAGAATCGGTAACTGGAGACGGCAGGAAAGAGAGCAGAATTGCCAAAACGACTTAAACAGGCACTAGAGCGTCAGGATTTGGATCCGGAGACGTATCTATTTTCGGATGATGCATCTTCTGCTATAATTTCTTCAATTTCCTTCAATATGACTTCTATGAGAAACGAAATTTCTTTTAATGACTTTTACATAAAACAAAATTTCTTCTGATTTGGAAAGTAAGATATCTTCTCTGAAAATGAAATCTCTTTGGAAAATTAAATTTATTCTGATTTGACTTCTTTAATAACTAAAATTTTTTCACACTTGGAAAGGAAAACCTCCTCTATGAAAACTGACATTACTGCTGATGTTTCTTCTATAAAAAATTACATTTCTTCCTTAGATGATAAAGTGCCTTCATTAGAAAATAAAGTTTCGTCTGAAGTTTCTTCCTTAGAAGAAAAGATGTCTTCTGAAATGTATTTTATGGAAATTAAAGTCTCCTCTGATATCCCTTCTATAAGAAATGAAATTTCTGCTGATGTTGAAAATAAGATATTTTTCGTTGAGAAGAAAATAGAAGATATCGAAAAGAAAATAGATGAAATAGAGAGAAAACAGAAAGACAAGTTATCGAAGTTACAAAAAAGAGCAAGGACAATGAAATGAAGTTTCATGAGATGGAACAAAAGCTGAAATTGGAAGAAATTGTAAGCTCCGTAAGCTCAAAATTTTTTGCACGGTTGAATAGAAAATAAAACCCCCTTTCAAATGAGCTATCACTCACCACCCCATGCCATTTAAATTTTTCGAAAGGGTTGCTACCCTCCAGTAAGGGATGAAATTAAGGGTAAACTAATCATGCAAAAATGTACATTGTAGAAATCAAAAATCGACCTTACATTTTTTTGTGAACTGTTATCAAAATAGTATTAAATAAATTGCCTATTAGGGTTATATGATAAATAAAATTTATTTAAAATAAATAGTCATTTTTTATTTTCAATATTTTTCAAAAAAAAAAAAAAATTAGAATGCCCTCATCAGGATTTGAACCCGGGTTGCAAAAACAGAAAGTAAGTGGTCAGGTTAATTTATTTTTCTAATCAAGCATATACGACCCTAGTTTTTTCTACAACATCAGTCTCATTAAGACGTCTTTGACGCTCTAATATTGCAAGGACGGCAGCAAAGTAGGTGTATAACTCCTACACATTTAATCTGTACCTACGTGTGCGATGTAATCTGGTGGATTAGGTGAATACTTAAGAAAACTACGGTAGTGTAATCACAGAAAAATCTTAATTGTTTTGAAATCTGTTTTAAAATAAAAACAAAATTTTCAATTATAACGACTTGCAATAATAATTGGGTCGAAGTAAGAAATTACTGAATGGGCACATATAAAATCGTCGCTGATTACTGTCCTAAAAGACAAAGTACGTGTCTTGACGTGCAATCCAAGAGTATGTTTTTGTTTTGCTAAGATTTGATGTGTATATTTATGTTTTAAATAAAATTATTAAAACTAACATATATGCTTTTTAATTACGAATTCTATTAAAAATTGTATTGTCAGTATACACAAAAATAGTCCATTAGTTCATAAACGAATTAGCGTTGCTGTCACGCACGGAGCAAATCAGAAAATATTGAAAAAAAGAGTCTTTCTTAGGTAATAAATATAAATAATATGATCTCATATTCCTATACAGAGTGTTATTGAAATACACGTACATATTAAAATGGGGAATAGTATGTAATGACCAAAAACGATTGGCACCAATTTTAACTTCAAATTCTAAAATTTAAATATTGGGGAAGAGTCCCCTTTTCCGACCTACTAGTTTCCATATTTAAGGAAGTAAAATAAATCGAAATTGAACTTACCCATAGAAATTGCACTGTTGCCGTAGCAAAACCAATTAATTCAAAATAAAGTTTATTACAGTAATTGTTCAAAATGCCGTCCATTATTATTTACACACACTTGCAATCGTCTTTCCAAAGAACTTTGAACATTAGAAATTAGTCTTGGATTTTGTCGTAGTTCCTCGGCTACCGCATTAACTTTATTGGTTAATTGTTCAACACTATTAATAGGTTCATTATAAACCAGTTGTTTCATGTGACCCCACAAAAAGAAATCGCATGGATTTAAGTCCGGAGATCTCGGAGGCCACTTAGTAGGTCCATTTCTGCCTATCCACTTTTGAGGAAATCTAATGTTCAAAAACTGCCGTACGTTTAAATCAAAGTGAGGAGGAGCGCCATCTAGTAGGTACCACATCCGTTGCCTTAATTGTAACGGTATCTCTTCTAGGAGTACTGGCAAAATATCTTCTAAAAAGTGGAGATATCCTGGCCCATTTAATCTGTTCGGGAGAACATAAGGCTCGATTAAATACTGATCTATTATGCCAGCCCAAACATTTATTGAAAATTTTCTTTGATGCCCAGTTTCCCTAATGGCGTGAGGATTTTCATCACCCCAAATATGCGTATTGTGCATATTGAACACGCCATCACGAGTGAATGAAGCCTCGTCAGTATACAATAATATTTTTAGAAAATCAGGAATATCAACACATTTTTGAATCATCCATTCACAAAACTCCACTCTCTTTTCTTCATCACCTGGATATAAGGCCTGGACTTTTTGGATGTGATAAGGATGTAAACCTTGTTCTTTAAGTGTCCGCCACACAACAAATGAGGACACTCCAATTTCAAGACCTAGTCTTCTACAACTTAATTGAGGCCGGTTTTCAACAGCTTCCAATATTTCTTCTTCGGCCGCCAATGTTCTTTGTGTTCTTGTTCTCCCTCGATCTGCATTGACACTCTCAAATTTTCCATGGTCTCTTAGAGGCTGAACAGTTGAAATAAACGTACGACAGTCCGGAATTCTCCGATTTGGAAACCGTTCGCGATACAGGATTTGTGCTTGCCGAGAATTTTCTCCAGCTGCCCCATAAACCAGCACTATATCCGTTAGTTCAATATTCGTAAATAGTGGCATCGTAAAAAAATATTTAAAAGTAATCGTAACAACACTTTTTACCAACTTGGAAATGACGCGCTCGTGTTAGCCAGATTCGTAAATCAACTAAAATTTTAATAATCTATAGTTTCAAAAATGTATAGTTTAAAAACAATCATTTATCAAATATTCTAGTTTTTTTGATAACGAGGGTAGTAAAAACCAGTCTTCGGAAATAGAAATTAATTCGAAAATCTTGGCAACATGGTTATTTCTTACAAGACTAGTTTTCTTATCATCTGACAAAAACTTGCATATTAATTACTGTTGATGTTTAAAATAGGTAAATAAACCTAATTTATATAGGTCATCCTCAACATATCAGTGAAGTACGTTTGTTTTAGAATTAATTTTCAAAAATTAATAACTCCCTTAATAAGGGGTATTTTTAAAAAATAATATTTTTCTAAATTCAGTGGGGATCTGCGCAATACCCAGTTTTAATATGTACGTGTATTTCAATAACACCCTGTATAAATACACCCCAAAATTTTCAAATACTACAGCCCCCTCTAGTATTAGTACTTGAAAGCGCGTTCATCTAAAACCTAGTGTTCTCTAAATACAAAAACTTAACGAAAACGCCTCTAAACTTCCTAATGTGGCAACACAATATACACCAAAGTGTAATACTGGTTGCAGGCAGTTTAGCAATTGATGACCTATACAATGACTCATAATGAAAGAGGAACGTATGTGGATTCGGAGTTGTAAGAGGAGGATGAGGAATATGACGTTTTATGGTAGTCGTCACACCCCGTGGGCGGGCCGTGTGGCAGTAACTGACGTCAATCGACTGGCTCTGAGAATTATTGAGAACCATCTTGGCGAACCATCCTGTGTAGTACTGAAGCGAAAAGCTTTGGTGAGGTGTTGTTGAACTGTGTTTGATAGTGATTCTTAATCCACGTTTTTTGTGGATCTAAAAAGTTCTACTGATAGTTGCATATTCAATGTGTATGGCTACAGAGGTGAGAAGTGTTTTAATTAATTTTTTTTTTTCGAAAAAAAAAACTAAAACGAGAAATCATGAACAAAATTTCTATTTCTGATCTGTAAATATAAAAATGTCTATCCGCTTTTAATCTTGTGAGTAAAATAGCTTTTTCCCATTGATTTGTGCGGTCCTTTGTTATTTCTAAAAGTCGAAAAGTTAAATTTTAAAGATTTCTGACTACATTCATCCAATTTTTGGTCACATGTAGGTCCTTGACACTTCCAAAACAAATACTGTCAAGAAGGTAGGTTACCTACCCGTTGGATAGCTTTTACAATAATTAATAATCATGAAATTATTTTGTGGAAGTTGATGAATTCATTGAAAAGTACCTACATAAGAACATAAAAACGTATTAATTTTTATTTTAAAAGGCATAAAAGGCGTTTAAAAATGTTATCATTTGAAATATATTTACCCATTAAATTTAATAATAATAAATAATTTATTATTAGATATTAATTAAAAATAGATGTAAGGCAACAATACAGTTACAGAAGTGATAGTTATTCTATCAATAAAATGATTGTATATATAGACCTTTTAATAAAGAGAATATTAAACTCATTATTAGCAAAATGCCAAATGACGCAAATAATATTGTTCTCGCCTATAAAGTGTTAGGTACTTTACTGAATTAGTAAATCAACATGTTTTGATTTTCAATGTCATAACTTTATTTTTGTTAATACCAAATTTCTCAATTTTCTACAAGATTTAATTTACCATTTATGACAGGATATTTATTTATCAAAACTCAAACAGGTCAATTAAATTGGCCTTTTTACATGAGTAGTTTTCTTAACATAACAGTTAAATATTTGTAATATTATAATATGATACCTACTCAAAATATAATACAATGTATGTTTACAGAGGTAAATAAATATCAAAATATCACAATATGTATGACAAACGTACCTACCAACTCTATTAGGTATTTCGAAGTATTATTTAAGATATTCTAGAACTCGTCATAATACGACAGTAGGTATCATACTATATTCTACAATTTCTGTTTATACCTAATAATTATTAGTTGAAATTATTCAGAAAGTGGTAAGAGGCTAGAAGTCCATGCAGGGAAATGTAGATATCATTTAGAAATATTATTTATTCTAGAACTCATAATACGACAGCATGTCACTATTTTCTACATTTTTTGTTTATAATAATTACCTATTACCTATTTGAAATTATTCAGAAAGTGCTATAGGTTTAGGGAGGCTCTATATATCTCTTTAAAGAATTATATATTCTATAACTCGTCATAATACGACAGCATCTCACTATCTTCTATATTTTTATTTTGTTGTTAATGATTATTACTTTAAATTATTCAAAAGTGTTAGAGTCTATAACTCTAGATATAATTAAGTATTATTTATTCTAAAACTCTATTATTGGAAATTAATCAAAAAGTGCTAGAGACTAAAACTCTTCAGGGAAACTCTATGTCATTCTAGAACTCATCATAATACGACAGCATCTCACTATCTTCTTAATTTTTTGTTTATAATAATTCTTATTCGAAATTATTCAGAAAGTGCTAGAGACTAGAACTCTAGATATCATTTAGAAGTATTATTTATCCTAAAACTCGTCATAATACGACAGCATCTCAGGATGGTTTATAATTTTTCTTTATATTAAATATTGGAAATTATTCAGAAAGTGCTAGAGGTTAGGGAGACTCTAGATATCTTTTTAAAGCTATATATTCTAGAACATCTTTTATTTTTTTGTTTATACCTAATAATTATTACTTATATTATTTAAGCTCTACAACGCTAGATATAAGTATTATTTATTCATAAACTCGTCGTAATACGACAGCATCTCTACCGGTAGTGGGATAGCATGTATTGTTTTATCTCTCTCTCTATTCAGTGAGCGATATTAATAATAATGTTGCTCTTGTTTAAAAACTAGTTGCAAATAAAACTTATTTTCTAATAAATAAAATATCTGGGTACCTTAGTTAGATTTGAGAAATACGCATTATTTGCCAAATCTAATCAAGAGACAGAAATGTTTATTATTTAAAAAAAAAGAAAGTGCTAGAGGCTAGAACTCTTCGGAAGTTCATGCAAGGGGGTCTCCAAACATCATTATTTAAAAGCATTATTCTATAATACGGTAGCATCTTACTATCTTCTACATTATTTAGAAAGTTCTAGAGACTGTCTCTCTTCAGGAGACCATGCAGTCGTGTGGAATCTTTAAATGTATATAAAATAATTATTATCATTGGAGATTTATAAAATATATTTTAATTCAAAGTATAAAATTAAAAATTCAAAGTCATGATGATGATCAATAACTGATTCTTAGCAACCGAAGTTGCTTAGGAGATGAGTTCAACCTTTGTCTGCCACGAATTGAAGGGTTACCTAAAAGGTGACAAGTGTGTGACCTATTATATTAGGCGTAGGTAGTGACTCTCCTGTATAGCTATTAGGCATTCCAAACAAATGAATTACCAGTGGGCAGGTTTGTTATATCTAAGGGTGGCGACATATGGTGTATTCTATCTACTTTACGTAAAATCATGAATAATGGATTACATTTAAATATTTTATGTCAAACACAATAAAAATAATATTTAAAAAACCCACCTATACATTTTTTCATAAATTGGCAGGCTTGGCGAGTACTACTTCGAATAAAAATAGTGTCCAAGTTGCAAGACTATGTCGCTACCCCCTTAAATATACAAGAATTTCCCACTGGCACCTATTGTTTGACAGGTCGTTGGAATGCCTAATTTGCCCTTGCTTCTTCTATTCCAATAAGAGGTAGCTTTAAATGACTCGAACTCGAAACCTGATTTCAGACTAACTTAACTGTATTAACGCCGGAAATGAGGTGCAATTTAATTTCAAGATTTAAACCCTTCATCTATCCACCGATTTGATTCTATTGGAGTGGAGGGGAGTAAAAACATTAAATAGTCAGCACTGTCGCCAAACCTTATCCCGTACGAGAAATAATCATTTCGCATGATAAAAAACATTTTTATCAAATAAATTTAATAATTCAACATGTCAACTGAAACCAATTCAAGTAATGTTTAACGTAGGTGTTCTGAAATGCATCCAATCTGCTTTTCATCGAATTCCGATGTTTCCTAGTAACCAATATTTTAATTATGTTGAAACAGCTTGATTTAATTACAAATTAGTACATTACTAAAAGGCTAAAAGACTACAGATAATTATTTTATTATGTATAAAGTGCATAAAGCTATTTGCTAATTAACGAATATTCGAATGTAGAAAATTCGTTAGTTAGTGTTAGTATTTATGTTGTTTTCCAGCTAAAAAGTTTTTTAAAAATAAAATAACAAGTGTTGAGAATAATGAAAACGTCCATCACGTGTTTGTATCATGAGCATGAATACCTATTGAAGATTTAAAATGTGTATAACGAAATGGTTTTTAGCTTTATGGCAGGAAATGTGATAACGAATCTACCAAGTACGATCAATCTCTGTACACAAAAAACTTTTCAATTCTCAAATTTATGGAAACTACAACGCAAATGATTAAATTATTATTTCAAATATGTCAGTTGATTTATTTGGCTAGACGAAATTAACATGTTTTTATTTAGACAACTGACGTATCATACAATTCAATGCCATCTCAACTTTTATTTTCTTACTAGGTCATAAATAGTAGTTTGTGCAACAAGAGTAGATATAATGTCCATACGGACAATCCACTCGAGTCTATTTTTTCTACGACCCACTAACGAAAATCTAATCTATACGTTTTAAAAATAATTTAGATGTTATTAAGATATTATAAATAATTTAAAAATTATTTATGACTTTTAGTAATTTATAAAATAAAATAAACTCGAAAGAAAACTTTAATTAGTCTTCCATCCTGGATTTGAACCCCGGACATTTCGCACAACTTAGTACTTGTATCTCTGCACTGACGAGGCTACTAAATACTCATAATGAAATTGGTTTTTTCTACGACCATGTCAGTAAACGTTAAAAATCGCACTGTCGACATTCCTTGTGAATTACATTTAACAATAACATGCACGTAATGAAATCTCATAACATAACGTGCGTTTTGATAAGAAAACTTGAATTTCTTAGTTTAATCAAATTTTTATCTACGTACCACTTTATTGGGTCTATTTACATAAATTTAGTCAATTGAAAAACATAAAAACTTTTAGCATTAGTAAGATACATTTTGCATTAAAAAAGTGATACCCCTAAATGTCTGCAACACATTATACAATTTTTCAAAAAATAAATCGCGTTTTCTTAGCATGCTATGGAAATAAACGTCTTGCCATTTATATTGTCATTTTTTTGTAACAAAATATTATTGTATTCGAACATTTTCTCAACTTTACCTACGAATATGTCTGTTGGTATTAAAAGTGATGAAAATATGAGCACTCTACCAGAGATCTACCACACATAATTTGTTACCGCTAAAATCCAAAGAAAGTTACGAAATTACCTATCGAAAAATGGATTGGCGACACAAGCATATGTCCTTTATTTAATAGAAGAAAATAAGTGGGCGTGGAAAAAGTATAGTACGTTACACAAGTTGTAAGCCCATTACGCACTCGTAAAATTTAACTCGTTAACTTTTTCACTTCGTGCGTAATGAGTTACCTACAACTCTTGTTACGTAATATACTATAAGATAGTTTTATTAAAATTTACGATTTATTTGTAAATATACACGAATATCTTGTGGAATGCTATTAAGTATTTGTCGATTTTTTACAAGAATTTTTAATAATATTTAATCTCAATAACTAAAAAATATACTGATAATTAGTTTGACAGAATTGTCACTTGAAAAAATAATACTAACCCGGTTACCAAATATGAACTGTGAGTTGCTAAATTTCATATCCGTACATTTTACTTTTTAGAATGGATATGAAATTATATTCGTTCAGTCTACTTTTTCGTTTTGTTATCTATGC